AGGAGTAAAAAAGTCTCTATATATATTTTGATTGATTTTCCCTATAAAATACAAAAGAACAGACTGCAATCTCTTAAAACAGAATTTATCAAAGTGACCAGATAAAAGATCAATATCATACATTAATAACTTCCTGGAATTAACCACTGAGAAAATTTTATAAAAATAAGGATTTATTTACAATTGCCATAAAACTGTAAAATGTATTGGTATAACAAAAAGTCTGTGATTGTCAGGGAGAAAAGTCTGCAAACATTTATTGAAGAATATAAATAAAGTCCTTTATTACTTTCCTAAATGTAAGACTTTTCAAAAGGGTAAAGATGTGAATTTTCCCATTATACTCTCAAAAATTAAATAAATGCTCTCATAAATTACAGCATTATCAATCAATAACATACAAAGGTTTTTAATGGATAGTGACAGATGGATCCTAAAATGTATTTGGTACCCTAAAATGTGCAAATATATTCAGTACATATTGAAAACAACAGAGGGGACGTGTCCTTTCAAAATATAATATAAAGATGTTATAATTAACAAAGTACAATATTGCTAAAGATTTAAATATACATACCCACTAAAAGAATATCATTTCAAAAAAAGTATGAATGAGGATAGAATATAATGACAATGGCATCTTTTATCACTAAGATGTGTGATACATCACACTATAATGTGTAATAAATGATGTTTGGTCAATTGGCTGACAATTTATAAAATATTCTTTTTTTACACAGATCACTCTATTTGTATTAAGAATTTCAAGGCAAAACAAAACTTTGATAGTAACAAAACACACAAGAGAAAATGCATTTATGACTTTTTTAAGGAATGCCTTCTTAAATAGGGTGAAATTAAAATATTGATATAAAAAATTAAATACTACTGATTACAAAAGGTATCTGTAAACAAAACAAGAAGTACAGTATGTCATACATACATTAAAAGGCCAAGAACAAAGAATATTGCTGTATCTGCTGTAAACCAGATTGTGCATCTGTTTCTTTGGTGACAGCCTGTGGTTTGATTGATGGTGAGGGAGTTGGGAACAGGAAACAATAACATTAAATAGATTTCTGTGTCCAGAGGTTTTGGTCATGAAGGAAATGGTGGACATTGGGATGTATTATTCTGGTCCAATAGCATAATAAAGATGAAGATAAAAGTTTTTGCCCCAACACTGACAGGAGTAGGATTTGGGTAACAAATTCCCATTTAAGATTCCTCATCTGTAAACCTTGGGTTTAAAAATATCCCTGATTTGCCTCTTTCCAGTGGTTTTTTGAAGGTCAGATGCCAAAATGCATGTGAAGTACTTCTTTCTGAATATAAATGGTTTCTATTAAGAGAGCTATTAGAAAGCTCAGACTATAAGGATCCTGTAAAAATGTGGAGTTGGTGCTAAATGAAAACTCAAAAACCTTATTTTCGAACAAATAGGGATACAGAAATCAGTCAAATTCAAAGCCTAAGTGAAACAACAAAAAGAGTATACAATAAATGTTAAATTGGGGCCATAGAGAATCACAATTTGCTCCATTTCCTTGATATAAGTGACTTGATGTTTTTCTCCTGGAAAGAAAATTTGTTTGAAAACTTCTTGAGGAATTCTCACCTAATTCCTGCAACTTCAGCCTGTCCCTCTGAGCCTCTCTGATTTGCAGTCCTTTGACTCTAAGTACCTGCAGCCCCACAAACAATCCCTTTCTCTGTTCTATCCCTTGCCTGCCAGGGGAGCTCTAACAGTCCCTCTTCTCGGTCTGCTCTTTGTGGTGCTCGCATCTTACCTGGCTCCCAACAGAGGGAGAGCTGCCCTTCCCACTCACTGCCCAGCTGAGCATGTATGTGCACAGCTCTTGGACCTGGTCTTCTACAAGGAGCCCAGCACGTAACACAGGGCTGCTGCAAGGGTCTCTTGGGGTTTGGAGATGAGCAATGTGATCCTAGGTATGAGGACTAGAATTTCTCAGGAGGCTCACCACACTAGACCAAAGCAGGTTAAATATTTCCCATCTTCCTTTATTTATCTTTATAATATTTTTCAATGAATATAAACAGTCTATTTTTTTCCTCCATTAACTTTAGATTCTATATGCGGCTCTGTAAGAAGCAGGCAAGAAATACACTTATAATTCCCTCCTTCTCTTCTTTTTCTGTTCCCAAATTTAGTCACTACAGCATATTTCCCTGGATAAGATGTAATAGAACTACATACAGTCTTACTGCTATGACTAAATTGTACATATTTGTATTTCAGTCATTTGAACCTCAAAGAAAATACATTTTGACTGAACTATGATTAACTAAACATGATTCAACATAGAATCTAGAATATGTATTATGACAAAAAGAATGACATGTCAGACTGTATTGCTAAACAAATACCACTGTAAGAGGAGGCATCCATTCATTTTACACTAATTTAATTTCCTATAATTATGTCAAATTTATGTTTAATTTATATTGAACTATAGTTTTGTAGGACAACTTTCAGTTTTCTCTGGACTGTAAACTATCTTCCATTTTGCCTGCACGCAGGATAAAGACAGGCTTTCTTCATCATCTCACTAATGACTTCCTGCTATTTACTCATAAATGGTAATTAGATGCTTACAAAATTAATTACCATACAAATAACTTCAAGATCATGTTAAAATAAATATTTCAATTCATTAGGTCTAGGATGGGGCCTTTGCTCTGAATTTCTCACACCATTTCTATTCTGAGGTCATATTTTGCTCACAGCCTTAATACGTACTGCATTTTTTAAAGCATGTCAAATTTCCTTGGATTACTTCCTATGGCACCCCTGAGTAATTTCCTCTCAAGCTTGCTTACCAGTTGTTGAACTTTATTGGATATTTATTTCATTTTTCTGGACATGTATTCCAGTTTTAATAAGAAAAAATGCAGATAAAGAAAATATTGAATTTTATGTGTTCCTATTCATCTAAAATTTTTGTTTGCTCTTATACTTCATTGATAGATTGGCTATATGAAATTGTTTCAGTAATTCTCTCTGAATATTTTTAAGGTCTAGGTTAATGCAGTGAGTAAGACTAGAGATAACATTCTGGTTGTATATGTCGACAGTGTAAAAACTTAACTTCTCTATGCCTTAGTTTCTCTACCTGTAAAATGAGGACGCTATTACTTATTTCATTTGGTTGTTGTAGAGAATATGTAGCTATGCAGTTTTAAAACCTTTAGAACATAACCTGGCATGTAGAAACTACTGAACAAATCTCAGCCATTGATTGCTAAACTTGTGTAGACTAAAATTAAAATTACTGGTCTTTCTTTGTGAGTCATGTGTTTCCTATTTTAAGGCATTAG